GTGCTGGGATTAAAGGCATGCGCCACCACCGTCCAGCGTCTCATGGACTCTTTCATGAAGCAGGAACCCAGAAGGATCATCTCACCTTTAGGCAAATTCAGCAGTCATTTCTCTGCGGATCCTGCATGTCCAGTTCATGAAGCAGTCCAGGCAAGAGCAGTTTCTTGCCCAAATGTCTAACCAACACCATAAGGAGCCTCTTTGATGCCCATCTTCCTCTTGAAGTAATTGTTGCTGCCAGGAGCAGACGTGTCTCACTGTCATGTCCTAAGTTATTAAAACATTTAAATGACATATTCTGAAGGTCTCTGAAGGATTTGAAGAATACCTAACTGAAATATATATCTAGAAAATCTAACTAGCATGACTATAAGCTTGACTACTATAGATGACTATCTATTAACCTATATTTCTGATTTATACATTACATTTTAAATGAACTACACAATCACAATACCTTAATCAAGAGCAGAAATATACATATAACAAGATTGACCTTAAATTTGTATCAATAAACCAAGATCTATAACAATGCAAAGTATCCATCTCTATAACATATCCCCCATTAAATGTAAACAAACATTTATAAACAATATTTGAGAATTTGTACATAGTATTCTAGACTACTTTCTGCTGATTGGGGGTGCTGTTAATCAGGCCTTTTATGGTGTGTCTTGTATGCTAGGTTCATTTCAGTCAGCAGTAATTTTTTGAGGGTGTTCGTGGAGACCTTTCAGGGGGTCATGGTCTATCAAACCACATTAGTCTGGAAGCCCTCTCAGGTTTTACATGGATTTAGCCCACGTTGGTGCCAATTTGTTGGAAGGAGGCCACTTGTTCTTCCCAGCTGCCTGGCTAGCTTAGACCCAAAATAATCACACAGAAACTGTATTAATTAAATCACTGCTTGGCCCATTAGTTCTAGCTTCTTATTGGCTAACTCTTACATATTAATTTAACTGATTTCTATTAATCTGTATATCACCATGAGGTCGTGTCCTACCAGCAAAGTTTCAGCACTTCTATCTCCAGCGGTGGCTCCATGGCATCTCTGTACTCTGCCTTCCTTCTCCCATCCTATAGGCCAAGCCAGTTTTCTTTATTCATTAACCAATAAAATCAACACATAGAATGACCTCCCACACCACATCAGGGCTGGAGTGATAGCTCATGGGTTAAGAGTGAATGCTTACAGAGTACTAGAGTTCAATTCCCAGCATCTAAAAGGCTGCTCACACCCATCTGTAATTCCAGTTCCAAGGAATCTGACCACTGCAGGCATCAGACACACAGGGTACACGCATATACATGCAGACAAAAAACACATAAATTAAAAAAAAATTGTTGTTATTTTGAATCAGTTGGGGAGAACATTGCTTTGAAGAACCAGGGAACCAAACAACTGTGCAGGCAGGAAGCCTGGACACCAGAATCAAACGGAATTCAGGGCCTCACTCCCCTAAAGAATCAGCCATACAAGTTGCTCTCCGCCTCAGTTTCTTTGCCTATTAAGTAGGACAGTTTGTCCTTGCCCTGTATTTGGGATATAAATGGAGTGTATGAAGGACAGATTGTAATAAAGAGCCAATGTTCCATTAATCTGAAATAACGTGGAAGCAGCTTGGGGTTTTCTCTTTTGTTTTTAGCTTCACTTGTCACTCACTGTCTGCTTCCTGTCCTCATTTTCTGTCCTCAGAAACCTACTGCCTCTCACATGCTTCCCTCCAGTGGAGGCCAGAAGAGGGCTGCAGATGTCCAGTCCGCTGGAGCTATAAGCAGTTATGAACCACTTGATACAGATGCTGGGAATGGAACTCAGGTCCTCTAGAAAAGCGGTGCTAATTCTTAATGGCTGAACCATCACTTAGCCCCTGACTACCCCATAGTATCAAGATCAATAACGCTCATTGATAACCTTTTCCCTAACTCCAAGCTCATCTTTTATTTTCTCTCTTTCTCTCTCTAACACACACACATGCACACACACACACACACTTTTCGAAACAGAGTCTGTGTAACCCTGGCTGCCCTGGAACTCACTCTGCAGTCCAGTCTGGCCTCAAACTCATAGAGATCTGCCTGCCTTTGTCTCCTGAGTGCTGGGATTAAAGGTGTGCACCACTGTGCCCAGTTGATCTCTCTTTCTTGCCTGTGCCTGACAGTCGCTTGTCACTTTTGGTAGATGTTTTAGTTAGGGTCATTATTACTGTGATGGGCCACCATGACAGGAGCAATGTGTTGGGTTCTCTAGAGTCACAGAGCTTATAGAATGAAAGTGTGTGTGTGATGTGTAGTGTGTGTGGTGTGTGTGTGGTGTGTATGTGTGTGAGTGTGAGTGTGGTGTGTGGGGGTGTAGGTGTGTGTAGTGTGGTGTGTGTGTGGTGTGGGGG